CTCTCTCTCTCTCTCTCTCTCTCTCTCTCTCGGTTTCTCTCGGTGCGTCGCGGTGAATCGCGAGAGACGAGCCAATTCCATCTGCTCTGGCGATTCATCTTTGTTCGTCAAGCAGAGTTATTTGCTGAAATTTCACACGTTGCTTCGACGAGTGTCTAGATTCGATGATGTAGGTCTCCTTGCATTTTTACTTTTTTTTTTAATGCGTTTTCAGAAACACGTGTTTCATCGCGTACAATTACAAAATTGCAAAAGTTCCGAAAAAATTTAATCTTTTTTTGTTTTTCCATCGTCTTCACTGCGAGTGTTCCTCGTCATTCTTGTTTGTCAGCGGAATCATTTCGCGGATGATGTACCGATACAATTTCAATGATAATAATCCTTCGAACATTTTTAATTGCCCGTCCCCCCGTCCGCGCAACAATAATAATAATAATAATAAGTGAAAAAATGGACAATAGGAAGAAGAGTTGTCGCGTTGTCTGGATTAAAGGACTAAAAGAGAAGAGAACGTGTGGGTTCTTTTATCCTCCCACACTTTGCGCGTGGTTCGCGAGAATGTGATGAGCGGTTTATCGAGGTTTATCAAGCTATTGGATGCTTGATAACTTTCCAACGACGAGAAACTTTTTTGTTTCGTCTCTTTTTCTAAATAATTCTGCGATTCGGCTGTTGAACTCTGTTGAACTCTGTTGAACGATGAGGGACAGCGAGGAGACAGTGACGGTGACAAGACAAAGTCTGTGCAAACAGTTTGCAAAGAGAAAGTGCGGAGATTTATGCTCGTCGTTGGCATAAACGTTGGTAGAATCGTCGGAGATCGAGTAGCAGTTTCGACGAGAAGGAAGATCTTCTTCTGACGAAGAGAAGATGGGCAGTAGCAACAAGCTAGGAAGGAAACATTACAAAAAGGACTCGCGATTCGTCACGGACCTCTACACATTCACGTACGACGACTTCGATCTTCTCGTAAGATATATATGCTTCGCTTCTAGAACGAAAGAGAATGGCTTCTCGGCAAGAATGGCGACAGACATGTATTTCCGCTTTCTTTCTCGCTCCGTCGTACTCCATCGTGGTTTCCATCGAACGTTTCCATCCATCGATTTCGAACGCATCGGCATGATGTAATATGAAAACGCAAACTTGAAAAACCTAACAATTTGAAAGTGAAGCTTACTTGCTCACTTGCAAGTAAGAGTAAGAGTAAAATGCGCGATGTGTCCAGGGTGGTGCAAATTGATCGAGTGGCAAAAGATATTTTTCAGCCAGCCCCTTGCGTGAATCTGAATATCTACGTTTCTACCAACTAGACGATGCAATAAAAAAGAAACAAAAAAAAAAGTAGTCGTACGGAAACACGAACGATGAAACGAACTTGGGGGGAGGGGGGAAAAAAAATATTCTTGTACCAGTTGTTATCGCACAATCACGCACGATACGAGATATTACGAAACGAGATATTGTTGCAAACTTTCATTGCAAATAGAAAGAAAATATATTTCGAGTATGAAATGCGTGAAATGCACAGAAAGCGATAACGTGGAATTTTTTTTTTTTCATTTATCGTTTCAACGCATGAAAGATGATAATAATTACTCTTCGCGGGTAGTAATTATATAATAATTAGTTAAAGAACAAGTGGAAACACGCATATTACATGGACGCAATTTTTCAAAAGCAAAAAGAAAAAAGTTACTCGATTCACGTTATGTCGACAAGGAATGATCAACCTTACGTTATTGTAATACACGATTGATTTTTTTCTATCATTGATAGTTGCGAACAAACTCACGATGTCACACAGTTGTTATAAATAAGTAGTCGTGTAATAACGTTTTCGTTGAAAAAAAAAAAAAAAAAAAATGATCAACTTGAATGAACGATAAGACGAGATTGATTCGTACTCAAAGTACCACTGAAATCCCATAAAAATCAAAGGTAGATTTCTCTCTTTTAATTGACGCATTGCAAATCGACCACGTAGCCACTCGTTGTTAAATAAATCGCGTTTCTTGAAATTAATTGCTTCTCGACGACTGTACGATCAATATGAAGATATGCGAAAGTCTCAGTCTCGAGATTAGAAGAGATTAATTTAACAACGCTCGACAAGTGTCATCGAAGAAATTAATAAATTGTTGCGTGAACTTGGCCCTTGAACCGAATCGGCCAAACATTAGACAATTAAGAAACCGGAACAAAGGGTTTCCTTCCGAGTGCAGGCACAATAAATGGACAATAAAAGCATTGTTTGCTTCTGCTTGTCGTTGCAAGGGTTGGGCAAGCGATCCAAACGAGATCCGATTGAGAAGAAAGAGAGAGTGGAAAGGTGCAGCGTTAATTAGCAGCGACGAATGAGAGGCAAGGAAAACTAGAGTAAAGTAAGCTGGGAATATTTCGAGCTTGCCGCTTCGCGGTCAGAGTAGATCGTTTTTTTGGTTTATTTCGCGAGAAACGAGAATCGCGTTCGATATCAATCAATGTTCGACGCTAGTATATCTATCTATATTCGCGAGAATTTGAAATATCCTTTGTCATTCGTCTCGATTCGAGGATTTCTTTCATATTCCGAGTTTTATCATCGATCCTTGCCTGGTTCCTTCGGCGACAGCCGAATCTCTTTCCAACATTCCAGAGATTTCCTCTGGCTGCTCGCCCGCTGAACACTGAGTGTGAATCAAGGAAATATCAAGAAATTGATAGCGTCAAAAGTTGGACGGATCTGGCGAGAGAAAATTACGAGCTTTACGAGAGAAGCAGAGAGGAAAAGATGTGGTAAAAATATTTCTGCCGTACAATGTCTCACGTTGCG